ATTGAGCAAAGGGTAAACTGGTGTTCAAGTTGTTCCTTTGCTAAAAAATGATAATCGCAAGTATGGGTAAAAGTGTTTCCATCTTGAAGTGTTCTTAGACAAAACACAGAAACTGTGGGAGTCAAAGGAAGTGAAATACAAAATGCATTTCCTCAAGTGGCCCGCCCTTCTCCCAGGGCCTTCCGAGCTTTGAAAACAAACTTGTTTTTTTTAAAAATCAAGGGCTTTTTTGTAGTTGTGTGAGAGGTGGGGGCAGAAATGGAAGAGATGAGGCCAGACTGCAGGGTGGTGAAAATAGATTGTTAAGTAAACAGTGACCGATGACATCTGTGCGTCTTACATTACCTCGGGATAAGTCAGTCTGGCAGGTGTTCTGCTTGGCCCAGGAACCCAGCCAGTATTCTGCTGAAATGGGATTTCAAGAGGAGCCTGATTACTCAGAATTACACTATCTCTCATCCCCAGACTGAGGAAGTTGATGGAGAAGAGGAAGAAAGTAAGAATGGTTTCTTAGAACTGGATTCAACTCATTGTGTGGGAACCAGCTCACCATGAGGGAATGCAAAGAGAACTGAACCCGACCCCACCACTTTATCGCAGCTGAATCGCTCTATCAGGCCCTCGGGAGAATAAATTAATCTGAATGGACACCACTGTGTATTCTTTTATGATATCTTGATTAAAGAAGGTAGGGTGTATTATCCACAGAAAAGGTCACCTATATTTTTTTTCCAAATTTCCTCAATCCCCCTAAGTAGCAAACAAATAAATGTGAGGAAATATTGACAGTTTCAAAACTGGCAGTTCCTGTTGAAATTGCTCTCTGCAATATGATATCTTAACACAGGTCTGCTTTTCTTACTCTGCTCTTTATTTTTCTTTTCTCTTTTTCCCCTCTTTATTGTTTTATTCCCCCTCTTTATCCTCTTTCTTCTTTACTTTTTTGATACAAATGGTAATTTTGTCAGAGCAGAAATAGCCAATATTTTTAACTGAACACAGGAACTTTGCAAGTAATCTCTATTTCACATCCCCATTCTAAAACACAAACTGGGGTACATGAATTTCAATTTCCCACCGCTATATATGTTTCACATGCAGTGAAGCAACTGCCATAGGGACTACTTAATTTTCATATTTGACATACGAATCTCTGATTTACATCATTAGTGAGACTCAAATGATGTTTCTCTCTGTTCCACTGTCCCTGAAATAAATTAGTTGGTGAAAAACTATCACTTAATCAGAATGCAAATATTGCAATGCAATTCAGCAACAAAGTATGAAGGAGAGACGATAAGAAACTTCCATGGCCAAATAATTTGGAAAATTCCAGGTAAAACAAGATCTTATGGAACTCACGAGTGCCTTTAATATATCACAGTGAATTGCCAAACTCTACCCAGGGAATACAGTGAGCTGTGTTTCTCAAACCAACCTAACCATGGAATTCTTCTCCCTGCGAGGCATCTGGGGTATCAGTACTTGACTAAACATTCTTGGAGAAATGCTGGTTTAAAACCTTTCAGAACGTAGTATCCTAGCTGGCAATGGTACAGAAATATCCAGTTTGCACATTCCCACATTCAGTTAAAACCCCGTAACTAAATGGATGGTTACGTTCCCAAATTTGTGGTAAACTTTAAAAGAGGTTTAAAGCTCCTGTGAGAGCCCCTCGTTGTTTCCAGTTGGGGGACGAGAAGTTGGAGAAGGGAGAACCACCATGGGTGACAGTCTTGCTTGGACTGGAATATTGAAGAAACTTTTCCAAAATCCTTCTCATAGTTATTTCACCACCTCCTCCCTCCTGTCCTTTTCCTCCACTTCTCAAGGATGAGGGCCGACCACATATGGGACAAGCTGGTGAAGAAAGGGAACCATTCTAGCTACTTCTCCCAGGTTCATGTAAATGGATTCAAGGGGCAACATCTCCCCCCTCTGCAAAGTAGCCCATTTCCAGAGCACATGGCCATTCCAGATAAATAGAACAAGGAAGAAGCTTTTTAAAACCTTAATACTCACATTGATAATCTATTCAACAAAAATGGCACTAATAGACATAGACTAATAAAAGATGGCCTATGTCTTTGAGAACAAGGACTACGCATAGAGAATAATGGGTATTTATGCCCAATAAGGTAAATACCTCACGAAATAGATAAAAACACTTGGGGCATCGAGGACTAATTTGTCAATATCACCTGGAATGGGAGATGCCAAGGAAAGTTCACAGCCTGAATTTTAAAAGATGAAAAGGTGTTTAAAAGTAGATTTAAAAAATGTATAGGCATACATATGGTGATGAAAGCAAATGAGGAAAAACACAGAGCATAAAATGTCCTTTGGAATTTGGGGTTAGCAGGCATCTTTACAATGGGTACCTCCGAATGCTAGGATGAGTTTAGAGGGGAAAGACAAAATAGGCCAGCACATGGAGACTTATGTGACATAAATGATTTGGGATTTACCTTGGATGTTAAAGGGAACCCCTATAAATTTTCATCAAATCTGAGTTGCACCTAGGTAACAATAATGTTTATGGGTAATAATGTCAAGAACACATTGTTCAACAATGTCAAACATGAGAAATAAGCCTCATAATGTGAGAACTAAAAGAATGTATTTGATTCAGAAATTAATTCATTAGGAGGTTAAGATGCTGTCCAAGCTCTGACTATAAAGCATTAAAGAAAATGAGTAGAAGTGACAGCTGAGGGGAAACAGATTAAAATCAAGTGCAGTTGCCCCAGAGATACACATTTATAAGAGAAAGACTAAAGGAACATCTTACCCCAAAATAAATCGGGGAAAATTGTTCTCATCAATATATAAATAATGCACTATTACCTACTATTAATACAATACTTTATTCAATTAACTTATAAAATAAATATGAAATACTATGATAAGCAAGGCATGTCACTGATTCTTAAAAACAGTTCTATAATTTTAAATTTTTTAAAAAGTATTTTTATTGATTTCAGAGAGGAAGGGAGAGGGAGAAATTGATAGAAACATCAATGATGACAGAGAATCATTGATTGGCTGCCTCCTGCACACCCCACAATGGGGATTGAGCCCACAACCCAGGCATATGCCCTGACCTGGAATCGAACCATGACCTCCTAGTTCACAAGTCAATGGTGAGGATAAAAAATGTCCTTGCCTATTCTTTAATTCCTGAATGGACTGAACAGAAGAAAACTATATTAAACTGTTATTGGCTTAGATACTGTAACAGGCTAAGTTTAAGTCTGCTGCCCTTAGCAGAAATGGGAATTCTCAATCTGCCAGAAAAAGTTATATTTCTGCTCATCCGAACCTGCAGTGTAAGTTAGAGTGCCACATGGAGGAAAGCAAAAGATGGGAAACCCTGTTTCTGCACTGTGTAGTGCCAGCCAGCCACAGTCCCAGCCTTTTCAGCTCAGCCCCTGGCGAAGGAAACCCTCAGCCATGGGCCAGCAGTCCTTGTTAGTCCTGTCTTCTTAGAATGGGAGTTATGGCTGCTGCTAGTTTCTCAGGACTCTCCCCATGCATTGGAGACATACTTCACTCTAACAGCTCTGAATGATGTTACTATTTGCTATAAAACAAATAACCATTTTTTTAAAGATTTGTACGCAAAACACATGTTCTGGGAGGTAAATACACATCATCGAACACACTACTTATCACCAAGAACTACTTAACAGGCAACAGAGGTTGCCAGAGAGTTTTAATTCATTCCTTTTGCTGTAACACCCAGGATGTTTTCTGTGATTATGAGGGATAATGACAATAGTTGCTAATCTGCCAAAGACTGTGACTCAAGGACTCTGCTAAGTAGAGGGATGGGGACCTCAGAGTTAGACAAAATTGGGTTGGAATCTGAGTTCCTCTTTTTTCCTCAGGAGGTGATTCAACTTCTGTTTGTGTTTTCTCAGTAAGAAACTGCCTTACAGATACCTAGAGCACTTGGAAAACAATGCTAGACCCTGGACCACAGCAGGCAGTCGGTAAAGAGCAATTATCTTCTCTGTGGTGTTTGCTTTCCCTCTTTAACAATCCTCCAGATCTCATGCTTCAGGCTTCTTACCTGTGAAATGAGGAGTCAAACCACTGGCAACGATCTTAAGTGTTTTCAAAGTCAACTTTTAAGGAGTTGATCTATTGTCCTACATTGTTAGATACTATTCAGCAGAACTAAGTGACATTTTATTTGAAAGACTGGCTCAGTTTTGAATCTCAAAATGAACTGTAGAAGTACAGACTTTTTTTTACAAGATTTTAAAATGAATTTCAATGAAATTGAAATAGATATAGGTTAGACTGATAAGAGATTGTGCGGAATGATTTGACCCAGTAATCCCACTTCTAGGAATATATCTCAAGAAATCAGAAACACCAATCAGAAAGGATATATGCACCCCTTTGTTCATAGAAACACAATTTACAATAGCTAAGATTTGGAAACAGCCTAAGTGCCCATCAGCAGATGAGTGGATCAAAAAACTGTGGTACATCTACACAGGGGAATACTACACAGCTGTAAAAAAGAAAGAACTCTTACCATTTGCAACAGCATGGATGGACCTGGAGAGCATTATGCTAAGCAAAATAAGCCAGTCAGAGAAAGATAAATATCACATGATCTCACTCATTTGTGGAATATAATGGACAATATAAACTGATGAACAAAAATAGATCCAGAGACACAGAAGCATCGAACAGACTGTCTAACTTCAGAGGGAAGGGAAGGCAGGGAGTGGGGGGTTAAAGGAGGTAAAAGATCAACCAAAGGACTTGTATACATGCATATAAGCATAACCCATGGATACAGACAGTAGGGGATGAGGGCATGTGCTGGGGGGTGGGAATTGCTGGGGAGAGGTCAATGGGGGAAAACAGAGACATACATAATACTTTAAACAATAAGGAATTTAAATTAAAAAAATAAATAAAACAAGATGAGTTTTGAAATTAAAAAAAGTCTATGTAGTATAAAGTCTGACCAGTTTTACTTACTGCATCATCCAGTAAGTTTCCTGTACTCTTTTTTCCAGAAGACTTTGATGAAGGAGAAGGTGAAGGAGAAGGGGCAGAAAGTGTTTCTTCTTGTTCAATCTCTTTTTCCAATTTTATCAAACCAGGAGGCTCCACACCATACCTTTTAAAAGATACAAGATCAATGTAGATGCATAACTTACAACGATACACTTACTATCTATATATATAAAAGCCCAGTGACCGAATGGTGGAATGACCAGAACGACTGGTCAACCAGTTGCTATGATGCGCACTGACCACTAGGGGGAAGATACTCAATGCAGGAGCTGTACCCTGGTGGTCAGTGTGTTCCCACAGTGGGAGCACTGCTCGGCTGACCGGGATGAGTGGTGCTCCCACAGTGGGAGCAGCTGCTCAGAGGGCAGGTCCACAGGTGTTCAGCTGACTGGGATGAGCGGAACTCCCACCGTGGGCTGATCCCCATAGGCCACGCCCCCACCAGTGCATGAATCTGTGCACCGTGCCTCTAGTATGTTATAGTTGATTATAAAGACTACAGAGCAAACTGATAACTTTTTAAAACAATTTAAATTTTCCTGGGATGGAGATAACTTTTTAAAACAATTTAAATTTTCCTGGGATGGAATGGTTCTTAAATGGCACCTTTTAAACAGGGGGAAACGTATCTGCTGAGTGTGTGTGTGTGTGTGTGTGTGTACATATATATGAATCAACACATAACAAATAGCATACTAAGATTAAATAAAATGCTACATGTAATATATTAATGAATCAATAATACAAATAACCATATAACATTTAGTATTCAGTTTTCATATTTACTAGGAAATGATATAAGTGATGTAACTGAACTCCTATTTTGGACACAAGCTTGTTAAAGATAGAAATAAATTCAGTCATAGCCAAGTTTGAAAACAATAATCCCCCCAAATAAACATTCTTAAATGATTTAACAGAAAAGAAATTCTCTATATTAATTGTATACCTCCTATGGGGCCTAGGAACAATGGACTATGGGTTATAGTCTTAAAAACAATATAATGAAAGCATGTCTAGTGTTTCTAGGAAAGAAAATGAAGAGAAGAAAGAAAAACAATTTAAAATAATATGTTAAATTTCTGTGTTTTAAATTATAAATGCCATAGAAGTTTTTAAAAATAGATATAGTTATTAGCATTTTTATCTCTCATAATCATATTTTTCTTAGGATAAACTTAAAATTGATTTGCTTTCTTAGATGTACATCAATTGTACATCTAAGTTCAGTGACAATGTGAAGATGATCAGATTAGGAAATCACCTCAAGCCATCACAATCACAGCATCCATCCCAGGTGGAGGAGGCCAAAGGTAACTCCAGAAATTAAGATTTGAGAAGGGCCTCTGGGATCATCTATCACACACTTCATCTGTACAGCTAAGAACACAGATCCAGAGAAGGTACAGAACTAAGTAGGAGCTGCCCAAAGATGCAAAGCCAGGTTCTCTGACTTCAGGACTGAAGCCAATTTTCTCTTTTAACCAGGTGATTGTGAGTTAGAAAGGAGAGGGAAAAGTCACAGATCATGGATAATCTACCAAGTAAATAATCTATAGATAGAGAATAAGTATGTTGGTGGTATGTCTAGTACCTTAGAGTGAGCTGTACATTAAAACAGTATTAAATGTAAAAGTTTAGATTACTAAATACTAACCTGTTCTAATGGCCTGTTATTTTAACTGACATCATTGCATGTGTTCAGTAGACATTCCCAAGGCGAAGCAATTTCCTCACTCTTGATGTTTTGTTCTTGTAGAGCAGTGGTTCTCAACCTTCTGGCCCTTTAAATACAGTTCCTCATGTTGTGACCCAACCATAAAATTATTTTTGTTGCTACTTCATAACTGTAATGTTGCTACTGTTATGAATCGTAATGTAAATATCTGATATGCAGGATGGTCTTAGGCGACCCCTGTGAAAGGGTCGTTCGACTGCCAAAGGGGTCGCGACCCACAGGTTGAGAACTGCTGTTGTAGAGGGTGTTCGATTCATTTAATTTCTGGTCTCTCTCCTCCATTATTCTCTCCTCTCCAACTACATAAAAGGGTTTATCAAATCAGTAAGTCTAAGCATGCTGAGGACCAGCGCATAACAGCATTAGCTTGAAAGTGCAGAAGAGACATTGGCAGGCCAATGGACCTTGATCTCAGCAGGTTTTACCTTGGATGTTATCCCTTTAGTGAAAAACTATCACTTAATCAGAATGCAAATATTGCAGCGCTGTGATTGTGATGGCTCGAGGTGATTTCCTAACCTGATCATCTTCACATTGTTCACTAAACTTCACTGACCTTTGATTCTATCTGCTCTGCCTGCATGCATTGCTAAGGGACAAATGTGTAACCAAACTGAATAAAAAACAGGCAAGACTGGGACTCGTGGTTCCTCTTCTCGAAAGAGGTTCCACCTGCCCCCGCCCAGGCCTTTAAAATTCATTTTTCTTGAATAGTGTCTTCATTGTGTGTCGGCCCTCCTACAGGTTATCCTGAACCCACCATGCAGATCATGGCTTAAGAATAAACTGAACATGCTTGACTTACTTTACCCTTCTTCATCTAGAAAAGAAACTGCCCACAGGAAGGTCTCTACAGGAACCTCCACCCTGATTCATCCTTGCCTGTAATTAGGTGGCTAACTGGCCTAATTCTGCAGTTCCGTTACAGACAATAAGCATGTCTGTCAACTCGGACCTTATCAGCAACAAAGAGGATGATTGATGTTCTATCTGCCACTCCTTTATCTTCTAATTTTTTTCAGAATTTAGATGGTAAGGTTGGGTGGTATGTGTCAGGTGCCTTTTGAGTGCTAGAAAACGTTAGAATTCAGTACAAAACAGCTCAAGCTAGCATAACTCAACGGAACAAATGCTGCTTTGAGAACTACCTCTATGAATGGAGTAATTTTTAGTTACAAAAATCAAAGACCTAGGCACCACTTATCATATTTTTAACCTTTCAATCATATTAGCCACATACTGGGACATGAGTTCAAACATGTGCCAGACTGCAAATTCTCTAACAGCAGAGACCACTCTCTGATACACAGCATCCCCAGCAGTTAGCATGGATCCTGGAACACAGTAGGTACTTCATACTGTTTAAATGAAAGAAAAAAAAATCCTGTATTCTCATATAACAATAACTTGGAGTTCCAATTATGTATTTGGTTTCACTGTTTGGGGTGTTTAAATGCATATCACTTTAATAAAACATGCCAATATTGAACGTACATCAATGCTTTACAAAAAAAAATGTTCTAGGTGATTTTAAACCCTATCCAAAATGAGAATACCTTTTTTTTTAAAAAAACTTTGTGATACTAGTATTAATTACACTGAACTCAACCCAGCATTTCATTCCCATTGGTAAGTATCAACAATACTCATATGGAGATTTGTGCATCGTTATTCCCTGAGGTAGACCTGAGCTAACTGTGTCATGAACCTCCTCTTTAAATTTAGCAGATCACTTAACCTCTAGGAGTCTACTTTCTATCAGGAAGGCAGAGATGAAAATGGCCTGCCCTAGAGGTCTGATGTAGCAGTGCAGGGAGGGAGAAAGAATGTGAGAAAAGCAACTGCTATTGAACACCAGCATGTGTCTGGCCCATGAGGGCACCTTCACATACATTATTACTGAGCCTCAGCTTTATTTCAATATAAAGTGGACATTCTAATCCTTGTATTTGAATATTATTAGAACGAATTAAAACAGTATCCATTACACTCGTAGCGCTTCTGACACATCACAACCTCTGAGATTGCTGTTAATTCATGTTTCAAATGTTGCACAGCCAGAAAACTGCAGGACTAATGTACTTTTGCCAAAGTTTTTACTTTTAAAGTATATTATACCACCAAATTAAATAATATAATGGCATCATAATTAAGATGTGAAGTAGTATTATTAGGATGGTTTATATTGCCCTAGCCAGTGGGCAATTTTGTTTGGCTCAGTGGATAGAGCATCGGCCTGTAGACTGAAGGGTCCCGGGTTCCATTCCGGCCAAGGGCACATGCCTGGGTTGTAGACTCGATCCCCAGTAGGGGGCACGCAGGAGGCAGCCAATCAATGATTCTCTCTCATCATTGATTTTTCTATCTCTCCCTCTCCCTTCCTCTTTAAAATCAATAAAGAAATATATATATTTTTTAAAAAAATGTTTATATTACTATTGTTTTTATCCTTTACAAAAAAAACCTTACTATAGGCTTTCTTTACAATGATTTTGCTATAATTGTGGAATAGCAGAAATATCTCAGTGCTGGAGTGGAGCAGACCAAGTTATAAATTCAGCTTTGCTACTAGCTGGCTGCATGAACTTCAGCAGGCAACTCGTTCTTAATCTCCCTAGGCTTCTTTGAATTCTTGGTTCCATCAAGGTATAAAAATTTGTTATGTTTAATATTCTTCAGAGAATAACAAACTGGGCAGGGAACGTAGAGACATTTAAAACACTAGGAGTCACAGCCAATTAAAAGTCAATACTGAGTGAAAAACCTCGTATGTGAAAGTATAAAGTAGGCCAATTGGAAAATATGATTTCATTTGTAATTGTAGGTGGATTCATGCCACCTTTCAGGAATAGGTTGCCTAACTTTTTCTGTTACTTTTTTCACAAAGTAAAATAACATGTTATTAGAGTGACAGGAGGTTCCACTTCACGTCTGATACAAAGTGGACTTAGTTTGAATGAAGCTGGTCACAGTCACACACAGAACCTTGCCCTGGAGAGCTTTCTCTATCTGGGAAAGCTGCAAATTAGCTACGCTGCTGAACACAGAAAATCAGCACTAAGCCCCAAATCTCTGCTTACATTGGCTTTTGGCTACTTCAGGCTGCCTCCAGTACAGGCAGCCAGTCCAGAAATGCACACTTACATACGATTCATTGGCTTCCTGTCTGTCTGGAGATGTCAACAGGCTGTAAATCATGAAATTCCCCTTAGGTTGGGGGCCCACACCTGCAAGCCAACTTAGACAACAAGTCTTTTTTTTTCTATGCTCCAAAAGGCCACTTCGTTATGGTTTCCATGATTAACTCTATACCACTTCATATTTCTATTTTGTCTATGAGGTCTTCACAAATTTATACTGGTTTCTACTCCATTCCAAGGACAAGATTTTAGAGTTTTGGGGAAGAGGAGGCTGTTGTAGCTCCCAGGGCCTAACGAAAGCAAGAAGGGTGAATCCACTAAAACCAAATCCTCACATTTGTATATCCCAGGGATAAGAAAGTAGGGTAAATACTGAAAGGGCAATACATTTTTTTTGCCCCATTAAAAAATATTACACACTGCTTGGGAAGAGTCTTATGGTTGATGACTTCATGATGAGATTTTATACATGGACTTCGTTTTTCTGGCATGTGGCGCAACTTTTGAGATTGTTCTAGATAAAATAATTGAGCCCCAAACTGAGTCCTGAGTGAGAACATTTACTCAAACTATTTAGTAGACTATAGTTTTCAAATAAAAGACACCTGGGGCCAATTTTACTAGAGTTAGAGGGACAAATTTTAAAACCTCCCACCCCCTTTTTTATATTTTTATTGATTTCAGAGAAAAGGGAGAGGGAGAGACAGAAACATCAATGATGAGAGAGAATCATTGATTGGCTGCCTCCTGCTCACCCCCACCGGGAATTGAGCCCACAACCCAGCATGTGCCCTTGACCAGATGAACTTGGGACCCTTCAGTTCACAGGCAGATGCTCTAACCACTGAGAAAACTGACTACGGCCTCTTTTTAAAGCTTGTAAAAAGCTTTAAAAGCTTTTAAAGCTTGTAGATTCTTGCAAGATAGTTTTTGCCCCATATTTATTCTGTCTTAAAGTAATTTAAAGATAGATTTAGATTTGAAAGGAAATTTCACCCATGTGAAAACATGATATTCTTAGTAGTCAGAGACAAGTGCTTTAAATAGGATGAATTAATTAATAAGCCTTGTAAAAGAATATTTTTATGAAACATTTTGTTTGGCCATGGATTGAAATAGACGACTAACAAAATTATTTTAAAGTTTTTTGTTTTGTTTTGTTTTTTCATAGAAGCATAGAACAGAATGTCAACTCTCAGAGGGAAGGTGAAGATAGGTGGGCAGGTGGGAGGAGATCCACCAAAGAACTTGTATGGATATATGCATAACCCATAGACACAGACGAAGGGTGGTAAAGGCCTGGGGCATGGGGTGGGTGCAAGTTATAAGGAATCAATGGGGAACAAAAGGCAACATATGTAACACTTTCAACAATAAAGATTAAAAAAATAAAATAAATAAGGTATATTTCTTTTTAGTAGTAATAAATTTTGTACAAAATCAAGGAAGTTCTCAAAAATATAAAAAGCTTCACTATGATGCTGATGATTGATTATGGCCCCAAACCAAAATATCAAGTGTTTTACTATTATTGTAAAGCTAATCTTAATTCTGCAGTCTGTAGAAAAAGTTAAATTCACAGCAACTTTTTTTTTAAGGAAAAAATATCAAAACACTGTCATTAAAAAAATCTGTGAGGTTTTATTGACCTCCCGTTGCTGAGTGTTTTACTTTTCAGAAGGCAAACATGCATATTTTACACCCAGAAACTGACATGGTTTCTGAAATGTTAATGGAGGGATTTCACTCTCCAGTGATGATAACTCTATTTGGTTGAAAATAAAAGGAAGTTTTACCCATGAGAACAAAAGTAAGTGGTCTCATCCTCCCATCTCAGAGCTCGGAGAAGCCCAAGGGGCTTCCCTGAATGATCCCACGCAGGAGAACACGGCAGAAAACCAGAAACATTTTGCAAATTATATCCGAAGTGACGTTGATGCTTTTAAGATGACATTTATGTAATTTAAGGAGAAATGTTTAGAATCAAATATAAAAAAGCATCATCTATTAGTGATAAAAAACTCAAGATTGTATTGGGAACTTTGTTATGCTCAAAACTCATCTGTTGTGTATACAAATGAATGTCGTGATTCTTGAGAGCTCTCCCAGAATCACTTTTAGTTTTGGCTAAAACTATCTTACCTTAATAATTTATATAAACCTCCATGGAGGAGTTAAACAAGAAAGAAGCACAAAGTAAGGATGTAGATAAAGGTTTTATATATATATATATATATATATATATATATATATATATATATATATACACACATTAATGTAGGAGTAAAAATGAGATTAGGGGATATATTTTCTTTTTTTCTCTTTAACTAATATGCTTCAACATAGAGCTAAGGAAATGGGATTTGGGTTGATCAGTTTGCCATTGTCTATAAAGCACAATTGAACTTCCATAAATACAGAAATTTTCAAATGTGTACTGAGAGAATCTTCAATAGACTCTGATACTTAAATGTTCCATCTACCCAATTCATTTTCAACTGTTTAACCTTATGTGGTACACAAAATGTACAATGGCACACCCTGAACAATCTCTTGGCATATTTCCTCTTTTTCAGTGAAAGTGTGCAATACTTCACACCACTCAAGTAGGTGAAGAAAATAAAAAGCAAAATTTACAAATCAAGTATTATAATGTAAGGGTAATCTTACTCCTTAGATAACTCCTTTATGAGATTAGTAATATTTTCTTTGCAGCATGAATAAAAACTTCTTTTGTCAGCTTGCATGATCATAAGTATAAAGAGAAATGGAGAAACCCATTGTTATCATAAATAATAATGATAATCATAGATAGCAGGAGGAAAGTTTTGGAGGTGATAGATATGTTTATGGCATAGATTATGGTGCTGGTTTCACAGATGTATAATTATCCCCAAACTCATCGAGTTGTATACATTAAATACATACAGCTTTTTGTAGGTCAATCATATCTCAATACAGTAGTTTAAAAAAGAAAAGCAACACAGAATCTCTTTTAAAATATTTGGGTGGAAAAGGAAAATGTCAAATTCTTCATATATGCTTTACCTTGAAACTGAACAGACCATCATGATTCCTTTTTAATAACCAAGATTTTAATTTGCTTTATATTCTATGGCAAGGGGCAATTTATGTCAGATGTAGAGCTGGAGGAAAGGTGATTTTTAAAGGGATTTTGTCATTGGGTATTGTGTCTTCTCCTTTGATGATTTGATCATAGTTAAAATGTTCAATTCAGCAGGTCTCCTACTCAAAGTGTTCAGGTAACAAAAAGTATATTACAAAAATAAATAAATCCAGAAAACAGGCAAATAATAGAAACAAAACAAGAAGAAAATGACAATCCCCAACTAACTCTGTAGATAGTGCAACTCCTTTTTACTTCTATATCTCAACTTTCAGATTCATGATGCTTATTTGATTCATATAGTTACAATATTAAAGCAACAATATGTAATCTGCATTTTAGAATATTCTGACAGTTAATCAAAACAAACAACTAAACAAAAAGTTGTTTGCTCATCTGCTAATGAAGAACTCTAGATGACCCATGTTTCTTTTACCTAGCATTTCGATGGCAGCAAGTCATTTATTGAGATCTTATTGGTTCATCTGAAATCAGCTCTAAAAGTATACCCAGATCTGGGTGAGAAAACATCTAATTTATTCTTAATTTTAAATTTTCATTAAGACTTCTTAAAGATTTAAATCTTCATTTCTAATTTTTTGGGCTGTCTGTAACCCTGCTTAATGGTTTGCAAGATACAAAAGAAGACATGACATAAAGTCAGCTTAACTAATAAAGTCTCTCCCTCTGTCTATTTAACCATAATTATGATTTCTACAGTTGCTTATTTATATTTTGATAGAAGAAAGAGATTCTAAAGATATCTCTATGTAAGAATAATTATATTCTACATATTTCCCTAATAAAAATATGGAGAATAATTTTAAAACTATTCCCCTATTCAGAATTAGAAACTAAAAGAGCTAAGAGATGAGATATTGAGTGGAGAAAATGAGAAAAAAAATGGACAAGAGAGGAGGCTAAACATTAGTAAAGAGTAAAGAGGAAGAAGCGTGAAGGATTAAGGAAAGAATATAATGGGATAGACTTTGGGATAAGGTAAAAGTAATTGTCACATATAGTTTATATGAGTGGCTTTATTTTTTTAAAATATATTTTATTGATTTTTTACAGAGAGGAAGGGAGAGGGATAGAGAGTTAGAAACATCAATGAGAGAGAAACATCAGCCACCTCCTGCACATTCCCCACTGGGGATGTGCCTGCAACCAAGGTACATGCCCTTGACCAGGATCGAACCTGGGACCCTTGAGTCCGCAGACCGACACTTTATCCACTGAGCCAAACCAGTTAGGGCTATATGAGTGGCTTTAACAACAAGATCACAATGGTAAGAACATTGGTGGCAGGCTTTTAGTCTGAATGACTGCTCTTGAGATGTTGGTACATATTTGAATAAATAGCTTCTCAACAGGCTCAACATCAGCAATAAAAAGCCATTAAGCTTCTTAGATGCTTAGATGCTGAGATGGTTCATGTCTTGACATAGTAGCAGTATTCTGACCTACCTGGCTGCAATCCGGCCCAGCTCTAGCAAACAGAGACACACTTCTCTGGGTTGCTTGTGGAGAACTGAAAGACAAGACAGAGGTGGACACATTTACAATAGAAGGGATTATAAAGCAGCTCAATGGTGAATAGGCTTGCCATTGACCCCCTCATCTCTCCCAGTCCCAGGAAATTAGCTAGTCTTCATTCTAACTGTCACAAAAAACAGCCTACCTACCTCACAGAAGACTTCACTTTACTAAAGCTTCAAGGTAGTTTTCAAAATTCTTTGTCCAACCCCCTTCCCCAAAGCCATTACTCTCAGGAAATCTCAACCTGTGTAAATCTCACCTTAAAATTATTTTCATCAATTAATTTTATTAAGTCAATATGTAGCTATAATTATGATATAAATAGCTGATAGATATTTTACATACAGCACACAGAAGATTATGGAACAAGGACTGGCTTTTGATTTTATTTTTATTTTTTTAAGGACTGTCCTTTTAAAATCCTGGCTTTACCTTCACTAGTGATTTTGGCAGAAATAACGCAATGAATAAGAATAAAAATTACACATCACAGTTTGTTATCCTTTAAGCCAAGATGACAAAAGAGACCCTGAAACTTAATGTCCTCTTCTAATAAAATCTGATTGATTTTAGAAACAAACACTTTCAGCTGATGGATTTTGGAAATATACACCAATATATACCATCTGCCAGCTTTGCTCATAAAATGAACAAATTAGAAGACTACTATTTGCATAGATATTTTTATTCTAATATAACCTGATTACTTAATACATCTTTATCAATTGCTTGGACACAGTCAGTAATGCTGACAAATCATACTTGCATTTGTTGTGCCTACAAGAGGAGTATCTCTGCTTATATTATTCTCTATTCAAAACATGATTAGAGAATTTTTAAGTGTTATTTTATACAACCTAATAAAGATAACAGATATTGGAAAAATATTGCATTACAATGACCTTTATATAGACACAGTTAATATCCTGATTAAAAGTATATTAGCTTATTAATACACTTTAAGAAAAATCATAATATTTCTTTAATTCTTAAACATAGAATTTTATAATTGAATATCCCATTCAATTTTATAATGGAATATTCCATTCCTTTAATTTAAACTTTTAATTCTTTATTTACACAGATTAAGGTAGTGGCACTACTTGGTCCATGGACAACTGATAGGATTTGTTCGGAATGTGTGATGATTAGAAAAATACTCTTACTTAGATTGTAAGTATATGATTTCACTTGGGTTTAAACAGAAACAAATTTTTATCTTGCTATAAAATGCCACTTTTAAAGCTTTTAAAATAAATTCTAATCCCATCAGCAATGTTCATTAAAACAAAACTGATTATGGGATTTCTGAATTAAAGAATATTTCCAATCTTGGTAATACAAATTTTAGTTTCAGTTAAACCTTAATAAACTGTCACAAAATCCTAATTGGGGAAGCCTAAAGTTACTTTTAATTAAAAGGTCTTAAAGATACTTAACACCTCCAGTGTCAAATGCACCATTAATTGTCTCTGGCTCGAATGACACAAACTTCACAACTTTTGCTAGATTAAACCAACTTCAGAGCAATGTAACTCGTGGCATGTCATATCACATAGGCATCCAATAACAACCATCACAAAATAGAAGCAAACAAATGGAAATCAATCTTCCTTTGTAGATAATCAATTTATTTTTATTTGAACTTTTTTTTGAAAATTCTGTCCATACTACCAAATGACAAACAGGAGTTTTGAGTGGGAAAAAAAGAATACATGAAAACTGAGGAGAAGGATTTTAAAGTCCTGTCTAATACCCTCATCTTCAGTGAAGGAAAGCTGTGTGAAGCAAGTGGTTAAAGCATGATGAGCTTGAGATATAATCACATGCATTCTTGATGACAACAATGTCAAAAAATGAAAAAATTCGGTGAACTGATCATATTATGTCAATGTGCAGTCAATAACCAACTATAAAAATTAATACCTGTCCAACTATAATGATTCCTTAGCCAATTTATTGTACATATTCTGAGGGCTATAGAAGAATTGTATGTAAACAAATAAATTTTATGGAAAATAATCATTCTGAATAAAAACAATAATGTGGGTAATATATGAAAAACAATGTGATATGTAGGACTGCATCACTAGTGTGTATTTCTTTGCTTCCTCAGCAGAACTATCAATTTAAAACACTTTTTGTATGCTGAAACTCAAATGTCAACTCTACATGGATGCATTAGAACTGTAATTTGGCAAACTGAAAAGAAATAGCGTGATTCTTCACTTATATCCTTAACAGAACCAGCCTATATAATTTAGAGAAACAAACATTTTCCTCAGCATCACTTCTTAGGAAAATGCTAATAGAAATATAACATTTTACTTCCCAGTAATTTTGGAAATATTATCCTATATATAGCAATACAATTGCTTCAAAATGCACCTAAAATATTGTCTCACATGTTGATGACTCCTTACATATTAGGCATATCAAGCCTGGCCCATAATAGCCAAAATATATCAATATTTGATAGTAAGCAATAAATAAGATAAATCTGTAGAGGTGCATTAATTAGCACAGTGCCTAGATCAGAGTAACTACACAGTAAATATAATAGCTCATAATATCTAAGGGGATCTAAATTACCTGGTGATGATAGTGATTATGACAATGAATTAACTGATAAAGATTAAAATCTTACCTAGCATTTTTAGAAAAGGCAAGATATAAATTATGTAAATATTTCATTATATTTATATCTGAAATATAATGAAATTTTAAATATATTTCATTATATTTACAAACTCTCTTACCTTATTGCTATGAAATTTAAATTTAATAATTTAAGTACTATCTACATTATACCTAAGTTCATAGATGGAGAGAGTGCAGTGGCTGTGAGAGAGCGTGAGCTTTAACACGCACTAGTTGTGTTATTTGAGGAGGTCATTCGATGAAATCTGTTTTCTGAGGGCAAGAATATTGTGTACCACATGATATTTTTGTGACTATTATACAGAATAATATTTATTGTTAATCTTAACACAGTGTGTGGCACATGAGGGAAGATTTGTTGAAGGTTCGTTTTATTCTCATTGTTATAAATCGTTTACTCGAAGATGATCATCATTTGGCTTTAATCAAAATTAATTGACTTTTTTTTCTTAAAGCATTTTTTGTGCACTTAATCATGTCCACACCAGTCCAGGCAATGTGTTAGTTACTATACTAAGCAATGGAAGAAACTGTAATAAAAAACACACACATATTTCTATTGATAGATTTGTATAATTTAGAGTGGTCCTATTATATTTGAATATCTTTTTTTTAATATATTTTATTGATTTTTTACAGAGAGGAAGGGAGAGAGATAGAGAGTTAGAAACATCGATGAGAGAGAAACATCGATCAGCTGCCTCCTGCACATCTCCCACTGGGGACGTGCCCGCAGCCCAGGTACATGCCCTTGACCGGAATCGAACCTGGGACCTTTCAGTCCGCAGGCTGAAGCTCCATACACTGAGCCAAACCGGCCTCGGCTATATTTGAATATCTTATCATTTATATTATTCCAGAGACAGTAAATTCTAAATTTAATCAAATTTCAAGTTAAATACATCAATTTAGCCAGTGTATACAGCTAGATATAAAGCAGATCTCATGAAGCTATTATGATTTTGTGCTAAGTATAACGTTTGAGTAACAATTACATTAGGACATGTCATTTTATGAGATACCAAACATCTTACTATTAATTTTGCTCAGTCTGTGGGACTAAAATACTGTAAATGACTCTATTTTTGATAAGTTATAATTGATTATGAATTGTATATCTTAGGAGATTAAATAGCTAAATGCATGTCTTTGTCAGGTAGATTAGAAAGGCAACTTTTACTGCCTGTGAACTAAAGCCTTCGTATTGAGTCATATGTCCTATTCATTTTAAACGCATTTACTGAGTAATCTTTTCAAAAATACAAAATCTTTCCACTTTCACTGAAATTTCCAGTAGGAAACATTTTTTTCACTTTATCACTGTAACATTAACATGGTTTTTCACTTTGAGTTACAGGTATTAGAGGGGATCATTACTGCTTTCTTTTCTCTGAACAAATTCTCTTTACAACAAATAAAAGCTCTCCAGTCAATGGTGATTATTTTGCAAAAGGTTTTTTTTTAATCACTGGAGGCTTCTTTTTAAATAATCAAAAGCCATTTCAAAGAAAGGTATAATGCAGAACACCTCTGGGAAAAGTAACACAGATCCCTATTCAAAAATATGTGGCGAGAGACTCAATCTTATAACCTAGATTCTATAAAAATCTCATGGGCATCAAATGTCAAATAGAATGCTGTGAGCTCCAGGAATAGGAAATGAGGCCTTCCACTAAAACCAAGGGTAGAGTTTCAATGTCACAGCAACCCAAGGATAAAATGCATTGGGCCATTAATGTATAGTTTAGCTAAATATATTAAGTTTTAACAGATGAACAAAGAAATGAAAGCATGAAAAATTGTCTTGTCTGTTAGTTTCCATACATTAGAGGCTATAACATTCAGGTTGGTCTTGAAGGAAACTGGCTTTAATATTTATATTTAGGAAGAAAACATAATATATATACACATATATATATACATACATATATATACATATATATATATGTTGAAAGTAGATTTATAGTTGTGAGCACGTGAAACACAAGAATTGATTTTTGTATTATTATTTATTCTTGTATTATCTATTTCCCGTACCAACAACTGTAAATCTACTACTGCCCCCCCCACCCCTGTATTTTGTTAAAACCATTTGAAAGTGTTTTGATATATGATATACGCTCTAAAAATATTTAGGATAACAGCGGTGATGATGAGGTGATGAAGAAGAATAAAGGAGGAAATAAGTCATGCATTCAGTTAGCCTTTAATGGGTATTCTGGCATTTTTCTCCTGCCAGGATCTATAAGGTACAAAAGATGCCACCCCACAAAGTGAAGGGATAGTAACAAACTGCTCTCAGCCAGCATGTGACGCCCAGTTAGATGACCC